GGAAAAAAAAGATGGGAAATGCTGGTCTACATTATGTCAAAATAGTAAGTAATTTTTGTTTTATAAATTATTTTTTAACTGTCAATCAAAAAGGGTTCATGTTTCCAAGGTTCTATAAGCTCCCTGAAATTGTAAGCAACATTTTGAGTATGTGTAAATGTGGTATTTTTCTGGGGGACTTCCAGAGATTTTTTTCATTAATTTTCTAAGGGATCTATGGCTTATGCAATCACTAGATCCGTTAGCTCCCTGAAAATGCAGCTAGTGACATCTGGATTTTCCCTTTATTAGCTTAGAGTCTCACAATTTTTCACTTAATTCTACTACAAAATTCTCTTGATTGCTCATGTTACTTCCATTCCAGTCTTTCTTGGGTCTGTACTCTAATTTTCTTAAATTTCTAATCTATTACATTCATTTCTAAAAACCTTTAATGGCTCCACTGTTGACTGCCAATTCAAGTACCAATGTTGTAGACCTCCCACAATAAGACTCTTATTATCTTGTCTTTCTCTCATTCTTGTGTATTCTACAATCAAACAGACAACTTTCTCCAAAGATACACTTACCCATACTACCTCTATATTTGGACTGCCTAGGTCTATTTCCTTCTTCAACATTCTTTACATGCTTCTAAAAAGCCTTCTCTTCCATGAAGTCTTCTTGATTCCCCAAATATTTTTTTATGATTTTCCCCTTCCATCATGAACCTAATGTAAATGTGTGCCAATCTCTTATGAAACGAATCCTACTTGGAATTCATATAATCATTACTGATGTGCTTCCTACCCATCCTGTGCCAGGGCACAGGAACTGTTATTCCCCTTGTTTTAAATTTGTCATTGGGTCCCTTTTACTGGATCACCCCAGTCAAGGCTTTCACCAGAAAAGCAGTATTGGCCCGTATCACGTTTTAATCCGAAATGCTCAGATTTTGATTTTTAAAAAGATTTTTTTTTTTTCTAGCTCAGAAATTGAACCACAGATAGCGGCTTCTATGCAAGCTCATCTTATTTCTAAGATGAAAGAATACAATTAAGGCAGATCAATCAAACAACAAAGATTTCCCCTTTCTCTTTGTTCTTTTGTTCCTTGTGTTGAAGAACCCTCAAATATATTTTCAGAACTCAGGAGTCAAAAATAATCATTTTTGTGTTTAATAGATCAGTTGACCTCTAGTATTTATCATTTCCTATTCCTACTTTTTTTTCCTCTTCAGTTGAAATGTCTAGCCTGGAGAAAGATACCCCCTACCTCAACCCAAGGCCCTAAGCAGTCTGCTTCAGTCTGACATATGGACAAAATCACAGTAACGTTCAAGTAGGAACAGAGTAGTAGGTAGCCACGACCATGGAAACAGCAGAGTTCGGAGCCAGCTCTATCTGTATGTGTTAGGAGGATGGGGAGTTTTCCAAGGCTAAAACCTTCTGATGGTCTATGATCCCCTTTTATTCATTGCCATCATAAAAGAGGGTTTTAAATAAACCCATTGGCTCTGTATCTATTGACAAAACAAAATGTTTCTTGAAAGAAAACTTAGGCACAGAACTTTGAGTTTCCACATAGAGAAAAATTCTACCATAGCCATCAATTTATATACTTATAAAAGATAATCGGGGCTCACTCTCCTTTTCCTAGCTCTCATTTCTCTCATTGGATAATGACTGATGCCAACTGGCAGAGACTGATTGGCACATACAAAGAGAATGATGGATAAGTCAACACAGGTACTGGTAACGCCTCCATGTGTTTATGCTTAAGCATCTCAATTAACTGTTCATATTCAGTATACTTTCTTTATTCTGAGATTTATTTTTCCAGCAAACTCAGCTATGTATAAGTGAAAGGAGCAACCTACCAAAAATAACCTAAGTGGGTCTTAATCTCCTCTCAACATTTTCTGACTTTGCGCAAGTCTTCCTTCTACCTGTTTGCCTTGGTTACTCTCTCTATAAAACAGGAATAATGTCTTGCTTTTCTCATTAAGTCTTGTGTCTGCTCTAAGTTATGTGGATGCTATAATTCAATAAATGTTAAATGATGCTAACAGCTTGCCTCATATCCTTCAAAAGTACCTTGAATGCTTAGGATGAATCCAATAAATAAACTAACATAAGTTCGATATCAAGGAGGACTGCTTAATGAAAGAGTAACTGAAGTATTCCCAAGTTAATTATTACCAATTAGGGTGGGTGTGAGAGATGATTTGCTTTTTTCAACTTCAATTTGAGAGATTGATTTTATGGCTTTTCAGGTCTCCTTCACTGTTAAAATCCTACAAAACAAATGGAGAATCAATAAAAGAAAAGCGTGTTATGGCTTAAGCCTGAGTTCCTGTTCCCTCCATCTTTCCAGTTTTTCCAAAATCAGTGTTGCTATCATGGTTCTGTTTTGATTAAAAATCTAGATATGCAGACAGTTTTCTTAATAATTCAAATATGTGTGGGCAATGATATTCTTTATGGTCTTTTCCATGTGCTGTGTGCTATCCCAGAACATTGGAAAATTCTACATTCAGATATTAAAACAGAAGACCTGCATGAAATGTACATTTACTTTCATTTGAGCTTATCTATTTAATAAGGCATTTGGTCTAGAACCTCTTTCTGTTACCGTGTTTGAAATTTAACTAACTTTCTTCTTAGGGACGACTATAAAGGATGTGATATTGCAAAAAAAATCACATTTTATAATTTTATAATGATATAGAAAATACGGTCTGCACCACACAATGGCAGGCTCAGTGAGAGTCAGTTTTCATTTGTCCAGGATGATTGGGAAATGAGGTGTCTCTGCTGTGATTTGTCCTGATAACTGAGGCTTATTCCCTTTGCATGCCAAAAGGTTTTATTTAAACTAATTTCAGTGGAAAGATTTCTCAAATGTATCGCACAGTTTTCAGCCTAATTAAATATATACTGAAGCTATTAACTTGTTGTTAATGATAAAGTCGGCACATGGCTATCAGCCATCATACAGGGCCACATCATGGTCAGAGGGGAGCCTGAGAGGGGAAAGCTTGCTTGCTCCTTTGCTCAGCGCCCCCAACTTGTTCTGCTTTCTATTCCCTTTCTCACTATTAGTGGCCTTTTTATCAGTTTTCAATACTCTCACTCCAAGCAATTTTTTATTCCTTTAAATTCCTGTTTTTAATTTGTGGAAAGCCCAATAATAAATCTCTGTGAGGACTAGATGGTAAACAAGAGTCATTCAAATTGGGGTACAACTAGGAGTCAGTGAGGATCAATGAGGGTTCGTGTGCAGACAAGTAGATGTTACAGCTGCCTAGTTTTCTACCAGGACCCAGAGAGTGAGGTTGCTGAGAGCCTTCCATCCCAGCAGCAAATACTCTTATTATTTTTCTTTGTATTTTTATCTCATTATTTCACTCTGATAGCTTATATTACTTATGTTATATATAAAATCCTTACCTACATTATATATAAAGTCCTTGAGGGCAGGAAACATATTTTATTGTTTATCTGTTTTGCTACACTACCTAAAATAGTGCTCAGTACATTAAAAAAAAAAAAAAAAAAAAAGCCGGGCAACAGTGGCTCATGTTTGTAATCCCAGTACTTTGGGGGACCGAGGGGAGTGAATCACTTGTAGACAAGAGTTAAAGACCAGCCTGCCAACATGGTGAAACCCCATCTCTACTAAAAATACAAAACAATTAGCTGGGCATGATGGCTGGCACCTGTAATCCCAGCTACTCTAGAGGCTGAGGCGGGAGAATCACTCGAACCCAGAAGGTGGAGGTTGCAGTGAGCCAAGATCACACCATTGAATCCAGCCTGGGCAATGAGTGAAACTCTGCCTCAGAAGGAAAAAAAAAAAAAAAAAAAAAAAAGAATGCTCATGTAATTTGGCTATGTAATTTGGCTATGCTATGCCTTCCCCCAGAACCCTAGAGAAATCCACATTGAAACATTAATCCAATATAATGCCTATTTCTGTCATTTAGCATTATTTGTGCCATACTTTTCCTCCAGTAGCGTTGACTGACTTGCCCTAGGCATTGCTGTAAATAAATACAAATATTTCTTGTTTAATTTGTGGCACTGTAACTGGAAACTAGTCTCCACCTCAGCTATTCTCTTTTTTGATTAGCAATCCTTTCATAGAGAATCTCTAGCTCTACCCTAAAGCCCAACTATAGTCCTTAGTTTTCATACCTTGAAGGCCCAGTAACTCATCAATATTTCTTAAGCTGTGCCTAACTTAAACTTTTTGGCCTATCAGAGGATCGTTCTTGTTTAGGATCTCTCTCTCTCTTTCTTTTTTTTTTTAATTGTGAGTAGAAAATGGTCCTCAGATACAAAAGCAAAGACACCTTGAATATCTGGCCCGTTTAATATTTATTCTGAATTTTTTATGTAATACCGTATGTTATTTCAATTCTTTTCATCCTGCAAGTTACTACAGGAAGTCATCCTTCCTTATGGCATCAACTTTCTGAGCATCACCTTCTTGATTTGCCCGGAATGTGAAAGTGCAAATTCACTCTCTTCCATGCAGCAAACATTTCTTGCTTCTGTCTGTAATGTTTTGGTTGCTTTTGAAGTCATTCTCTAAACTTGTAATGTGTCCAAGTCACTTGTCTGTAGACACTTGGAAAGTGGGGTCACTGATTTAAGTACAATGTGCTAATACCAAGCTCTGCTTTATACATGGTACCTGTAACCAAATCCTCTTGAAAATCCGTGATACCTTAAGTTTTATTTCAAGAAACATTTTGTTTGTGTCAATAGATCCAGAGCCAACGGGTTTATTTAAAAACCTCTCTTATGATGGCAATGAATAAAAGGGGATCCTAGACCATCAGAGGATTTTAGCCTCAGAACTCCCCACCTCCTGGGAATGGTAAGGTCTATTCAGTTTCTGATCTTATTGCAGTCATTCGCTGGATATCTCCTTTGACATGACCTTCTTTTCTCAAAGCTAACTCTTTAAAACCCCATCTCATTTACTTGTGAGAAAGAAGATGCGAAAGTCACCTTTGTGCTTATTGCAGACATTCATTTTTCTTCATGATGCTCTTGAAAATCCAGAATGACCACAGCTTATCCTGATCCTCCAGCTGTACACTCCGTAAGCAGAATGTAGGATTCATACAATATAGTCCCATAGGTGGCTAAATAGATTTTACAGTAAAATATGTGTGTTAGGGAGTGAATAAAAAATGTTTATTGTATGTACATCTTAGAGGGCAATAATAAAATACTCATGTACTCACCAAAGATTTGAGACATTCAGCATTACATCCCTGTTAGCACGCTGTATACCCTTCCCAACCTGTCACCCTTTCTCTTCTCCTAGAGGCAAAGACAGTCCTGAATCTTGTCTCTGTCTCTCCTTCTCTTTTGCTATCTCCCTCTCCCTCTCTCTGTCTCTCAATCTCTCTTTCTCTCATAGTTTATCATCTGTATGTGGTTTCTTAAATAATATTTCATTTGGTTCTTGCCTTCTGTACTTACGCAAGTGAAATTCAATATGTAATTTTTTGTGATAGGCTTATCACATTCCATACTGTAAGATTTATCCATGCTGAAGAAAATGGCTCTAGCTTTCTTTCTTTCTTTTCTTTTCTTTCCTTTCTTTCCTTCCTTCCTTTCCTCTTTCTTTCTTTCTTTCTTTCTTTCTCTTTCTTTCATTCTTTTATTTTTCTTTCTTTCTTTTCTGTCTCTCTTTCCTTCTTTCTCTCTATCTCTCTTTCCCTCCCTCCCTCCCTCCCTCCCTCTTTCTTTCTTTCTTTCTTTCTTTCTTTCTTTTCTTTCTTTCTTTCTTTCTTTCTTTCTTTCTTTCTTTTTCTTTCTTTTCTTTCTTTCTTTCTTTCTTCTTTCTTTCTCTTCCTCTTCCTTTCCTTCCTTCTTCCTCTTCCTCTTTCTCTTTCTTTCTTTCTTTCTTTCTTCTTTCTTTCTCTTTCTTTCTCTTTCTTTCTTTCTTTCTTTCTTTCTTTCTTTCTTTCTTTCTTTCTTTCTTTCTCTCTCTCTCTCCTTCCTTCCTTCCTTCCTTCCTTCCTTCCTTCCTTCCTTCCTTCCTTCCTTCCTTTCTTTCTTTCTTTCTTTCTTTCTTTCTTTCTTCTTTCTTTCTTTCTTCTTTCTTTCTTTCTTTCTCTTTCTTTCTTTCTTTCTTTCTTTCTTTCTTTCTTTCTTTCTTTCTTTCTTTCTTTCTTTCTTTCTTTCTGCAGTCTCATTCTGTTACCCAGGCTGGAGTACAGTGGTATAATCTTAGCTCACTGCAACCTCCACCTCCCAGGCTCAAGTGATCCTCCTGCCTCAGCCTCCCAAGTAGCGGGGACTGCAGGCACATATCATCATGCCCAGCTAATTTTCATATTTTTGTAGAGACTGGGTTTCGCCATGTTGCCCAAGTTAATCTTTGAACTCCTGGGCTCAAGTGATCTCCCACCTCTGCCTCCCAAAGTGCTGGGATATCAGGCATGAGTCACTACACCCAGCCAATAGCTATATTTCATTCTTTTTAACTATGGTATAGTATTCTAGTCTATGAACACACCACAACTTAGGAATCTATTAAACTGTTGGTAGACAATTTGAATAGTTTCCTATTTTCTGCTAGTATGAACAATGCTACTTGAACAATCTTGAATTTTCTGGTGTATTCATGCTAGAATTCCTCAAGGGCATGTATCTAGGAGTGTAGGTATGATTGTAGGGAATTTTCATCCACATCTCTACTCTATAATGACACTCTGCCTTCTGGTTCTACTAGTTTATACTCTTGTCCACAAGAGATGACTATTCCTATTGTCCATATCCTCACTACACTTGATATTAATGACCTTTTAATTTTTAATAAACTGGTAGGCATGAAATGATACCCCATTGAGATTTTATTTAGCATTTCCCTGCTTAACAATAAGGTTGAGCATTTTGTCTTATGTTTATGGTAATTTGTATTTCCTCCTCTATAAAATATATGGTTTTTTTTTGCTCTTAGTTTCATTGCGGTGTTCATCTTTTCGAACACAAATCTTTAGTCATTGACATGGATTGCAAATTACTTATTTCAGTATAAGTCTTTCTCTTCATTGCCTACAAGGTGTTTTTACTCTATAAATGAAAGCTTTAAATTGAAATGTACATACATTTTATCATCAATTTCCCTTGGACTCTGTAATTTCCTTAAGAAACAATTTTACTTCAAATGCATATGACTATTCCAAATATTCTTAGAAGTTTTGAAAAACTGCCTTTTACATCTCTCATCTGCTTGGAATTGTAGTTTATAGTTTGTAATACAGAACTGCTTTTTTAATTTTTCATTTGTATAATCAATAGTGCAAGCACCATTTATTAAATAGTTGATTCTTTCCTCACTGATCTACAATTGCTGAACTGACATAAATTAAGTTTCATGTATGCTGTGAGCCTGTTTCTGAGGTCCCTGTTTAGTTGAATTTGTCACTGACTAAATCCCTGTAGCAATAACACGTTGTTATAATTACAATAGTTTTAAACTAAAATTAAATCTGGTAGAACAAGTCCCTTTCCTTATATGAAAACATTGTTCTTCAGAAATGTTTGAACTAACTTTTGTCTAGGTAATTAATTTGAGATGTTTCCTCCTTTTAGTATAGGTGTTCAGAGCTATAAATTTCCCCTTAAGCATTTCTTATGCAAGATGAACACTTTAGATTCGAAGACACAAATAGGTTGAAAGTAAAATAATGCAGAAAGATATACCATTCCAACAGTAATCAGAAAAGAAGTGAAGTCACTATGTTTATATAAGACAAAATAGATTTCAAGGCAAAAATTATTACTATAGACAAGGATATTTTATAATGATGAAAGGGCCAATCCACCAAGAAGATAAAACAATTATAAACCTATATGCACTTAACAGAAGGGTCTGGGAAAACATGAAGCAAAATTGACAGAATTGAAGGGAGAAATACATTAATTCAGTACTCTAATCTCAGTAATGGATAGAACAACTAGACAGAAGATCAACATGAAATAGAAGACTTGAGCAACAGTATAAACAAACTGGGCCTTGCAGCAGCTGCAGAACACTCCATGAAACAACAGAATACATGTCCATCTCAAGTGCACATTGAACCTTCCCCAGCATGGAACGTAGGTTAGGCCATAAAAGACATCTCAGCAAATTTAAAAGGACTAAAATGGTACAAGTATGTTCCTAGACCATAATGGGAAAAGATCAATAACACAAGGAAATTTAGGAAATAGGTAATTCACAGATATGTGGAAATTAAACACACAATATTAAATAACCAGTGGGCCAAAAAAAGAACTCACAAAGAAAATTTAAAAATACATCGAGTTTTTTAAAACGTGCTATGGCAACTTAAGTTTCACATGCAAAAGAATAAAGTTGGATCCCTATGTCATATTATGTGCAAAAATTAACTCAAAATTGATAAAATATCTAAATATAAAGACTGAGATTATAAAACTCTTAGAAGAAAACATAGGTGTAAAATCTTCATGACTTTGGATTAGGCAATGGTTCTTAAATATGACATCAAAAGCACAAGCAATAAAATTTTTAAAAAGTACATTGGACTTCATTCAAATTAAAACTTTTGTGCTGCAGATGAATACAGTAAAAAAAGAAACCTAAAGAATAGGAGAGCTTATCTGCAAATCATATATCTTGCTCAGCTCTCGTATCCAGAATATATAAAGGATTCTTATAATTCAATAATAAAAATACAAATAACACAATTTTAAAAATGGGCAAAAGATTTGAACAGACATTTCTACAAATACATATATGAATATGTACATGGGCCAATAAGCACATGAAATGGTGTTGAACATCAATTGTCCTTAGAGAAATGAAAAGCTACAGTGACATACTACTTCACACTCACAGGCCTGGCTATAATAAAAAAAGACAGGAAAACAAACCACAGGTGTTGCTGAAGATGTGAAGAAACTGGGACCCTCATACATTGTTCAGGGGGAATGTAAAATGGTGCAACTGCTTTGGAAAACATTTCAGCAGTTTCTAAAAAAGTTAAACATAAAATTACCTTTAAGATTCAGCAGTTCTACTCCTGGATATACACCCAAGATGACTAGGTATATAGAAACATATATTTCCTTTATGCCTGCATACACCCTTAGATATATGTAGATATAAATATATGCCCAAACAAAATCTTGTGTATGGATGTTGCTAAAAGCATTATTCACAGTAGCCAAAAAATAGAAACAATCCAAATATCCATCAGCTGATGAATAAAGAGTGTTATATTTATACGATAAATATTATTTGAACATAAAAAAGAATGAAGGACTGATACATGCTATAATATGGATGAAGCTTGAAGACATTATACTAAGTAACGAAATTTGTCCCAAAAGGCCACATATTGTGTAATTCCACTTGTATGAAATGAGAAATTTCTATGGATCTTTTATGTTTCCTTGAAAATTATATATATTCTACAACTGTTGGATACAGTGTACTATATATGTCTATCAGGTTCCATTCAAATCTTCTTCAGTCTTTCTCAGTTTTTAATGTGCTTGATCTACCAATGAAAGACAAAAGTTTAAATCTTCCACTTTGATAGTGAAATTGTCACTTTTTTCTTGTAGTCCTATTAATTTTCATTGTATATGCTTGAGGCTATTGGGTCCATACGAGTTTAGAATTATTACATCTTCTTAGAAAATAGAATATTTTATCATTATTTAATTGGCATCTTTATTTCTAGTAATATTTCTTTCCTTAAAATATATTTTGCCAGATATTAACATAATTACATCAACTAGCTGTAATTATATATATTTTCAACTAACATTGTAAGCTTATTAAAGGATTCTTTTACATTCAATGTGCCATAATTGATTACATTAATAAGAACAATTTGAAGGATTTTAAATTTTATAAAGTACCTTTTCATGTGGTCTTTTACTTTTTCATTAAGGTATTTCATTCAAAAGCATCTGATGTTACTGTCAGTTTCTCAAAACATCTGAAAGTTTTAAATTGCTAACCAACATACAATCATGTCCATGTCATGAGTTATGTCAAATGATACCAAAATATGCTGGCTTAATTACTATCACACAAAGAACCTTCTTAATGAATCAGCTGATATGATGGACAATTAAACTGTTTTAAAAGTTA